GCGGGGCGAGGTCGGGGCGGAGGGTGTGCGGGGAGGGGTGCGGGGAGGGGTGCGGGGAGGGGTGCGGGGCGGGGTTCGGGGCGGAGGGTGTGCGGGGAGGGGTGCGGGGCGGAGGGGTGCGGGGAGGGGTGCGGGGGCGAGGTTCGGGGCGGAGGGGATGCGGGGAGGGGTGCGGGGGAGGGGTGCGGGGGGGCCGGGCCCTCGAGGGCGTTTCTGACCCTTTCGACCCCTTAGCGAGCGCGGATCTCCCGGGCTCGGCTCCGCGCCTCCCCCCCCAAGTTCTAGAGGGTTGAGGGAGGCTGGGCCACGCCTGGGATCTGGTGCCCCCTGACCCCCATGTCCCTGACCTCCCCTGCCCCCCACCTCCCCTGCCCCCCACCTCCTGCCCCCACCTCCCCTGACCCCCCATCCTCCCTGACTCCCACCCCCCCTGCCCCCACCTCCCCTGGCCCCCACCTCCCCTGACCCCACCTCCCCTGGCCCCCACCTCCCCTGACCCCCCATCCCCCCTGACTCCCGCCCCCCCTGCCCCACCCTCCCCTGACCCCCCATCCCCCTGACCCCCACCTCCCCTGACCCCCATCCCCCCTGACCCCACCTCCCCTGGCCCCCACCTCCCCTGACCCCACCTCCCCTGGCCCCCACCTCCCCTGACCCCCCATCCTCCCTGACTCCCACCCCCCCTGCCCCCACCTCCCCTGACCCCACTCCCCTGGCCCCCACCTCCCCTGACCCCACCTCCCCTGGCCCCCACCTCCCCTGACCCCCCATCCTCCCTGACTCCCACCCCCCCTGCCCCCACCTCCCCTGACCCCCACCTCCCCTGGCCCCCACCTCCCCTGACCCCACCTCCCCCTGCCCCCACCTCCCCTGACCCCCATCCCCCCTGCCCTCCACCTCCCCTGACCCCACCCCCCCCTGACTCCCATCCCCCCTGCCCCCACCTCCCCTGCTCCCATGTCCCCTGTTCCACAACCCCCATCTGCCCTGCCCCCCTCCCCCGGCCCTCTACCCCAGGACAGATTACACAGATGTGGGGGGACTGAGGTGCTTGTGAGGCAGGAGTGTTGGACCTGGGACTTGAACTCAGGGCCTGGGTGCCATCTGCTAGAGCACACCTCCAATTTGACTTTTTGCTGGCTCATTGGAGAACCACCATCCTCCGATCTCAGGCTCCGGAGTGGCTGGGGGGGGGGGGGCAGGCGTGAGCCGCGGTGCACAGACCCTCTGTAGGGTTTGTGAAGAAGCTGCAGGATGAGCGTCTTTCTGGGAACTGGGCCTGCTGGCCCCGCGTGGACGCTGCCCAGCCGAGGCCTATAAATGGCTGGTCACAGGACTCCTTCCCTTGGCACGGGCCCCAGGCTCCCGTGGGGCCGGTGTTATTTCTGACTCCTCCAGACCGGGCCTTCTCTGCCCGGTCACCAGCCCAGCCACCTTGCGGGGAAAGCAAAGACGCTCATAGTGAAGGCCCCGCCCCGCGTTTCCCATCTGCCCCCAAACCCAGTTCTAAAGGCTGGCACCAAGGTTTATGCAGGTGTCTTAATGAAGGTGACACTCCTGATCCTCATCAGCGCTTCTGGGGAGAGCTCTGTTCGTCTGTTTTTGCTGGTCCTGGAGCTTGAACTCGGGTCCAGGGCGCTGTCCCTGAGTCTCTGTGTTCAAGGCTGGCGCTCTACCACTTGAGCCACAGCGCCGCTTCAGTTTTCTGAGTGGTTTATTGGAGATCAAAGTCTCAGATCTCAGCCTCCTGAGTAGCTGGGATGGGGAGAGAGACAGACTGGAGGGGGGTGTGAGGGGGAGGGGAGAGGAAGGGGGAAGGGAGGAGACTGACAGAGATAATACTTTCCTCCTACCGTTCACTTAAGATTGCTTCCTGATCTAAACCTTTGATCTTGGAGTGATTTGGAAATCGAAACTCTAGTCCTGAGCTGGTGGCTCCCGCCTGTCATCCCAACTCCTCAGGAGGCTGAGATCTGAGGATCGAGGTTCAAAGCCAGCCTGGGCAGGAAAGTCCGTGAGTCTCTGATCTCCAATGAACCACCGAAAAGCTGAAGTGGAGCTGTGGCTCAAGTGGTAGAGCGCCAGCCTTGAGAAAAAAGCTCAGGGACAGCGCCCAGGGGCTGAGTTCAAGCCCCAGGACCAGCATGTGCACGCATACACAACACACACACAAGTAGACAGTTTATAGACACTGGTTTAGAACGGAATCAGTAGACAGGACTGGATCCCAGGCTCCTGTAGGTTTTTTTTTCCCTCCTCACTGGGTTTATTCATCCCCAAAATGACATCAGGTGGTGATATGTTCATTCATTCATTCATTCATTCATTCATTCTTCTCTTTTAGTGGAGAAACGAGACTCAACAAAGAGAAAATCCTTCAAGGTGGGTGGAACTCCCGGCTTCTTTAACTGGCTGGTTTAGAGGTGCGAGGTATGGGGGAAAGCGGGGGCGCAGGGGCCAGGACCTGAGTTGGAGCCCCAGCATGAGGTGCATGCACACGCACACACACACACACACACACACACACACACACACATGCTCAGAATCTGGATCGCGCCCGGAGGCTTCCTCGGCCTCTGCAGTGGGGGACTGTGCGTGGCTCTGCGCGCCCGGAGGCTTCCTCGGCCTCTGCAGTGGGGGGACTGTGCGTGGCTCTGCGTGTGCACCCCGAGTGGCTCTCTCCGCAGGGCAGGGCGTGGACGAGCCCCTCTCAGACGCCGGCCACGTGCAGGCCGCGGCGGCCGGCCGGTTCCTGAGCCGCGTGGTGTTCACACACGCCTTCTCCAGTGACCTTACCAGGACCAAGCAGGGTGAGCGGCAGGTTGGGGGCGGGCGGGGGGGGGGGTGCGGGGCCCAGAGAAGGGGGCTCCCTGAAACCCGGGGAAACCAAGTCACGCATGGACAGTGGCCCCCCCCCCCCCCCCAAGGCCGAGTTGTGCTTTTCACAGTACTTTGGATTGCTGGATTGTTTCTTGGTTTTGTATCGGTCTTGAGGCTTGAATTCAGAGCCCGGGCACTGTCCCTGAGCCTCTTTGTGCGCAAGGCTAGCGCTCTACCATTTGAACCACAGCGCCACTTCTGGCTTTTTTCTTTTTGCTTATGTGAGGAATCGAACCCAGGGCTCATGCATGCAAGGCGAGCGCTCTACCACTGAGCCACCTGCCCAACTGAGATGATACAGATCCTTATTTTGAGGTTTCTTGTGGCGACTTTTGTGTCATTCGTGTGTCTTTTTTTTTTTCCAGACTATTCACGGGATTTTGCAGGAAAGCAAATTCTGCAGACAGCTGACGGTGAAGTATGATCTGAGACTTCGGGAAAGGGTAAGCGCATCTCCACGCCCCTCTCTGCATGGGGCAGATTTCCTCTCCACCACGGCGGCCTGTCCAGTGGCTTTGACATCAGTGTGGAGCCGGGCGCCGGTGCTCACGCCTGTCATCCCAGCTCCTCAGGAGGCTGAGATCGGAGGATCGCAGCTTGAAGCTGGCTCACCCAGAAGGTCCATGAGACTCGATCTCTGGTTAACCATCAAAAATAAATCCAGGGCCTGGGCAGGTGGCTCAGCGGTAGAGCGCTCGCCAAGCAAGCATGAAGCCCTGGGTTCGATTCCTCAGCACCCACAGACACAGAAAAAGCCAGAGGTGGCGCTGTGGCTCAAGTGGTAGAGCGCCAGCCTTGAGCCAAAGAAGGTCAGGGACAGCGCGCAGGCCCTGAGTTCAAGACCTAGGACCGGCAAATGAGAAAAAAACAAAACATGCCACAGCTCTCCTGTGTGTTAAGAGTTTAACTCAGTGTGGGAAAATCTCACCCCCCCCCCATCCTGTCATTGTAAGCACACATTTTCTTTGTGTGGGGAGGAGGGGAAGGGGGGGGGAGGAGGGGGTACTGGGCCCTGAATTGAGATAGGCAGGCACTCTACCCCTCAAGTCACGCTTCTGGAAGCTTCTTTTGCTTACTTTACCAACGGGGTTTTAGGTTTTGCCTTGCGCCAGCCTCCAACTCTGAACCTCCCCATCTCTGCCGGGCTTACACGCATGCACCACCACACTGGGGCCTTAGAGTTTCTCAGGGCCGTGTTGTTGGCAACCATGGAGCCCTCCCTCTGCCCCGTGGTCTCCCGTTCCCAGCTGGAAAACAAGGGGGACATGTCTGGGACATAAAAGGAATTGGTTCTGGTCACTTCTGGTGGACCCCGGCGGTCCTAAGCCCCTCTCCTCTCTCCCCGCCCACGGCAGAAGTACGGGATCGCCGAGGGCAGAGCCCTGAGTGAGCTGCGGGCCATGGCAAGGCTGCTGGGGAGCAGTGCCCGGCCTTCACCCCGACGGGAGGGGAGACGCTGCACAGGTACGGGGGGGGCGGGGGGGGCGGGGGGGCGGGGGAGGGAGGCACACGGTTGCGCTCTGACACCGCTACACAGGCTGCACCTGATACCATTCCCTCTTTGGTTTCCGTGCCACTCGAACCCAAGGCCTTGCCACGTTCAGCTCCGTTTCCTGGCTCGTGGCTGGTGCTCTACCACGTGAGCCACGCCCTCCAGCCCTGCTTCTTGCCGGCGATAGCTTGTCTTAGGATAAGTCCTCCCTTCTTTAGGGGAACCACTGTCCCCCTGTGGACTCTCACCCACCCCCCACATCCAGTTTTCTTTCCCAGTGGAGGGAAGCGTTTGAGGGGAGTCAGCTGCCCAGGCTGGCCTTGAACCACAGTCCTCCAACCTCTGCCTCCCAAGTAGCTAGGATTACAGGCATGAGGCTTGAAAATTAATCGCTGTGTGTGTGTGTGTGTGTGTGTGTGTGTGTGTGTGTGTGTGTACTGGGCTTGAACTCCAGGATCCTCAGATCTCAGCCTCCTGAGTAGCTGGGATGACAGGCGTGAGCCACAGAGCTCAGCTAGAGATTAACCCGCACAGCAGTTCTCTTAGTTGTACGCTGTGGGTTTCCCGGATGTTGGCGGGTGTTCCCGGAGTGGGCGGGCCTGGCCCACTCAGTGTGACTTCTTCATTTCCAGGTGAAAAACCCGTGGGAAGGATTTCTTCGAGTCTCTGTGTCAGCTCATCGGGGACGAAGCTGCCAGCAGAGGCCCGGCGCCCCCCAGCGCCCCGAGCCAGCGCCTGGAGACCTTTGCTGCAGAGCTTTTCCCTCCAGGGACAAAGTGGCAGGTGGGACTCGAACTCACAGCCCGCCGGCCCGGGCCTGGCAGCCAGTGTCCTGGTGGTGACCCATGGCGCATACATGAGAAACCTGTTCGATTACTTCCTGACCGACCTCAAGTGCTCCCTGCCCCCCACCCTGGGCAAATTCGAACTCACGTCCGTCAGCCCCAACACGGGGATCAGCGTGTTCCTGGTGAGCTGTGAGGAAGGCAGGCGGCCCCGCGCTCCAGTGTGTGTGCATGAACCTGGTGGAGCATCTCCACGAAGCCCCGACACCGCCTGAGGGGTGTCGGTCACCCCCAGACCCTCCCAGCCCCGGAGCGGGGAGGGAGGGGGTGGTCCCCCGGCCCGCTGTATTTCCAGACAAGTCGAAGAACTGGCCCATCAAACAGCAGCATCCACCTGCCCGTGCACCTGCTGCTGCCTGTGTCTCTTATTTCTTCGTGCCGGTCCTGGGACTCGAACTCAGGACCCCAGCCTCTTTGGCTCAAATCTGCTCAAGGCTGGTTGGTGCGCTACCACTCGAGCCCCGGCTCCGCTTCTGGCTTTTATCTAGCTCCTTGGAGATGAGAGTTTTATTTGCGGACTTCCCTGCCCAGGCTGGCCTCGAATGGCGATCCTCCCATCTCAGCCTCCAGAGCAGCTGGGATGACGGGCGTGCGCACCAGTCTCTGGTCACACTGTTTCCCAGTGTCAGGTTGTGCGCAGTTACGGCTGGGGGCCGGAGGTGGCTGGGAGACTCCAGGTCACAAGTTGGGAGTCATGAGTTTCTGCATCTTCTGTTTGGGTTTTTTTTTTTTTTGGGGGGGGGGGGGCGCTTGAACTCTGGGCCTGCCGGCTGTCCCTGAGCTCTTCAGCTCAGTTTTCCTTCCGGTTCTCTGATGGCTCATTGGCGATGAGTCTCACGGGCCTTTCCTGCCGGGGCCGGCCTCCAACCACGATCCTCGGATCTCAGCCTCCTGAGTAGCTGGCATGACAGACCACTGGGGGGGGGGGGGGGGGACGGGACACTAAAACCTGTCCCGGGAGCGGCTGCAGGAGGGGGTTTTGTTTTCAAGGACTGCGAATGGGAACCACCAGGGCAGAGGAAGGCAGCTGGACCTCCGTCCATCCCCCACCCACGTCCCCGGGCCTCTTCTCCGCACCTTTACACCAGCCAGCGAGAGCTACCACAGCCCCTGTTCATTCCCCCAAACCAGGACCACTCTCCGCCCAGGGCTGGACGGGCAGCTGCAGACGCGCCCAGTGCCCACCAGGTGGCGGCAGAGCACAGCCGGAGGCCCCGCGCTGCCCCCTTAGACCCACAAAACTCAGCCAAGCGTGCAAAACTACCATCGCTCTGTGTGTGTGTGCATTTTCATGGATTTTGTGCTGGAGCGGGGCCCAGGTGTACACGATCATCTGTTGGATTAGAACAATTGTATTTGATTAAGCAAAGCGCTCTGGGTTTTTTTGTGACGCCCAACCTTGGAGGTAGCAGCGTTGACACAAAAAAGATCATTCTCGCCTGGTGCAGTGGCTCACGCCTGTCATCCCAGCTATTCAGGAAGCTGAGATCTGAGGATGGTGGTTCAAAGCCAGCCCCGGCAGGAAAGTCCAATGAACCACTAGCAAAAAGCCAGAAGTAGTGCTGTGGCCCAAGCGGTAGAGCGCCAGCCTTCAGCAAAAGAAGCTCAGGAACAGCCCAGGTCCTGAGTTCAAGCCCCACCACCAGCATTTTAAAGCCCACAAAAAAATCAGAATCATGCTAGAAACCCAATAATGATTTTTAAAAAATTCCATTGTCCAGAATAATTCCATTTCAATCAAATTGGGGGTGGACCTGGGCGCTGTCCCTGGGCTTTATTTGCTCAAGGCTAGTGCTCTACCACTCGAGCCACAGCACCACTTCAGCTTTTTCTGTGATTGAGGAATTGAACTCAGGGCTTCATGCATGCTAGGCGAGCACCTACCACTGAGCCCCCTGCCCAGGCTGAGTTTTGTAGATACCAAAAAGATTTTTCTTTTTCTTTTTTTTTAAATGTATGTGCACACTCAACAATTTTGATTGAGGGGCTGGGAAGGTGGCTCAGTGGTAGAGCGCTTGCCTTGCATGCATAAGGTCCTGGGTTCGATTCCTCAGCACTACATACACAGAAAAAAGCCGGAATGGTGTTATGCTTCAAGTGGTAGAGCTCCAGCCTTGAAGATCTGAGGGACAGCGCCCAGGCCCAGAGTTCAAGCCCCAGGACTGGCCAAAACAAAAGCTTTTTTATTTTGTTTCCTCTTTTGCTCTGTCCAGATAAAACTTGGATTCTCCTGCACTGGCAACTGGTTTTTATGTAGAAATGTAGCTGGAGAGGCAGCAGAAGCAGAAATCAGTTTTATTTAAACAAGGATGGGGGGATGGGGAAAGGTAGGGTGACATTTTTATAAATATCTATAAATACAGAGTGATAGGCTGTCTTCCAAATAAATAAATAAATACCACCAGATGACGGCGCTCTTAGAGACCCTGTGTGTGTGTGGGGGGGGGGGGGCTGGAGTTAGTAGGGGTCTGGGAGGTGGGGTTGTAGTTTTCTAGAACCATCTCGGGATTTTTCCCACACAGGCCTCAGTATGGGGAAGCACTAATAAAAAGGGGGGGGGAGGGGCTGTAGGTGCTCATTTAAAGGGAGGAAGGGAAAGGAGTCAGGTTGGGGGACTCTGCCCCCAGGGTAAGACTGAGAGGTGGGGGGAGTGGGCGTCAGGGAGGGGACATCGGTGTGCATTTAGTATTTAATCCCAGGAAGGGGGGGGGGGCTGAGATTGGGGGAAGGCTGTGGGGGAGCTGGCTGAGAATCAGGCCTGAAGCCTGGCCCGTCCGGGTGTCTGGGCAGCCTGGGGTGATGACCTAGTCCCCGGGGTATATGGCCTTATCCTTGGGTGGATGACCTTGTGGGGGCAGGTGACCTTGTCCCAGGGAGAAATGACCTTGTCCCGGGGTGGATGGCCTCGTCCCAGGGCAGATGGCCTTGTCCCCGAGATGGATGACCTTTGGGGGGGGTGGATGACCTTGTCCCTGGGCAGATGACCTTGTAGGGGGGCAGATGGCCTTGTCCCTGGGTGGATGACCTTGTCCCGGGGTTAATGGCCTTGTCCCTGGGCGGATGGCCTTGTCCCGGGGTGGATGGCCTCGTCCCGGGGTAGACGGCCTTTTGGGGGGCTGGACGGCCTCGTCCCGGGGTGGACGGCCTCGTCCCGGGGTAGACGGCCTTTTGGGGGGCTGGACGGCCTCGTCCCGGGGTGGACGGCCTCGTCCTGGGGTGGACGGCCTCGTCCCGGGCGGAGGGCCTCGTCCCGGGGTGGACGGCCTCGTCCCGGGGTGGACGGCCTCGTCCCGGGGTGGACGGCCTCGTGGGGGGCTGGACGGCCTCGTGGGGGGCTGGACGGCCTCGTGGGGGGCTGGACGGCCTCGTGGGGGGCTGGACGGCCTCGTCGCGGGCGGCCGCGCTGTGGCTAGGCCGCGCCCCGCGCCGCCGGCTCGCACCCCGCGCCGGGCCCCCGCGCGCGCGCGCCCCGCAGCACCCCGAGCGGGTCGCTGGCGTCCTCGGCGCGGGGCGGCGCGGGGCGGCGCGCGCAGGCGGCGGCGGTGGCGGCGCGGGGCGCGGCGGGCGCCAGGCGCGGGCGCGGCTTGAGCACGCGCAGCGGGTCCCCCGCGTGCGGGGCGGCGCGCGTGGCGCGGCGCGGGCGCGCCGTGTGGAAGCGCGGCAGGGCCAGCTCGTTCCGGCGCGCCAGGAACTGCGCCTGCGCGGGCGGCGGCCCCGCCCCGCCCAGAGGCCCCGCCCCGCCGCGCGGCCACGCCCCCGCCGCGCCCCGAGGCCACGCCCCCGCCGCGCCCAGGCTCAGCGCGCGCCGCCGGTCCGGGGACTCGAACACGTCCAGCCCGTTCTCCAGGCGGCGCGGGCGGAAGCGGCAGCTCGCGGGCTGGAAGTCCGGCTGCGGGGAGACGCGGGGTCAGCGGCGGGCCCGGCCCGCGAGTGACCCCGGGCCAAGGGCCTTGCCCCGGGGAGGGACCTGGTCCTGGGGCGGATGACCTTGTCCTGGGGTGAATGACCTTGTCCTGGGGCGGATGACCTTGTCCTGGGGTGGTGACCTTGTCCTGGGATGGTGACCTTGTCCTGGGGCGGATGACCTTGTCCTGGGGTGGTGACCTTGTCCTGGGGTGAATGACCTTGCTCCTGGGGCGGATGACCTTGTCCTGGGGATGACCTTGTCCTGGGGCGGATGACCTTGTCCTGGGGTGGTGACCTTGTCCTGGGATGGTGACCTTGTCCTGGGAATGGATGACCTCGCCCCTGGGATGGTGACCTTGTCCTGGGGTGAATGACCTTGCCCCTGGGGTGGATGACCTTGTCCTGGGGTGAATGACCTTGCCCCTGGGGTGGATGACCTTGTCCTGGGGTGGATGACCTCGCCCCTGGGGTGGTGACCTTGTCCCTGGGGTGGATGACCTTGTCCTGGGGATGACCTTGTCCTGGGGTGGTGACCTTGTCCTGGGGATGACCTTGTCCTGGGGTGGATGACCTTGTCCTGGGGATGACCTTGTCCTGGGGTGGATGACCTCGCCCCTGGGGTGGTGACCTTGTCCTGGGAATGGATGACCTTGTCCCTGGGGTGGATGACCTTGTTCTGGGGTGGTGACCTTGCCCCTGGGGTGGTGACCTTGTCCAAGCCTGAATGACTTTGAATCTGGGGCAAATGACCTTGTCTTGGGGATGGATGACCTTGTCCTGGAGTGAATGACCTTGTCTCTGGGGTGAATAACCTTGTTCCTGGGTGAATGACCTTGTCCCAGGGTGAATGACCTAGCCCCTCCCGGGCCCCCCACACCCCGGACACTCACCGACCCGAAGGCCCGGCCGCGGTTGTCCAGGCAGAGGAAGCGGCGGCTCATCACGCCTTGGATGACCACCACGTCCGCGTCCTCCCACCGGATGGTCAGTGCGCCTGCGGGGAGGCCAGGCCGGGGCTGGGCGTGGCTCTGCCAGCCCCCCCACGACCCCCTGCCCCCCCCCGGGGGCTCAGAGCCCCGAGCCTTCACACCTGCCCACATTTGCCAGGCTAAGCCCACCCTTTCCTGTGCTGATCCTGGGACTTGAACTCAGGACCTGGGCGCTGTGCCTGAGCTTTTCTGCTCAAGGCTGGCGCTCTACCTCTCGAGCCACAGCGCCGCTTCGACTTTTTGCTGGTTCATGGGAGATGAGAGTCTCGTGGGGGACTTTCCTGCCCAGGCTGGCTTTGAACCGTGATCCTCAGATCTCGGCCTCCTGAGCCGCTGGGATGACGGGCGTGGACTGCCCAGCCTGGGTTAGCGGGTGGGCACTAGCCACGGCCCCTTCCCAAGGCCCAGCCGGGCCCCGCTGAGCCTCCCCGGCCTGGGGAGGAGCTGGAGGCAGTGCCCGGCCTGCCGGGAAACCGCAAGGAGCTGATCAGAAGGAAAGGCAGCATGCTGCTTCCTCCCCAGAGCATCAGCCTTCTGCGTCCACTCATCCGCCACTGGGGCCCAGCCCCTCCTCTGCACGGATCGGGCCACAGTACCCGGAGCAGGATTCTGCTCCCTTTTCCAGAACGTTCTTGTCCCAATATATATCCATCTTTAGCGACCATCCATCCATCCATCCACTGTCTGTATGTTCTCTATCTGTTGAATCTATCTTCTATCTGTCCATCCATCCTTTATCTGTCTGTCGACCTATCATCTGTCTGTCCGTCCATCCATCCACCAATCATCCATCCACGCTGGGTATGTGTTGTATCTAGTTATCTATCATCTATCTATTGATCTATCATTCCTCTGTTGAATCTATCATCTGTCTATCGTTTATCTATCATCTATCTATCTATCTGTCTGTCTGTCTGTCTGTGTCTATCCACCCATCCATCCACTCTGCCTATACATTGATCTATTTATCATCCATTGATCTATCATCTTTCTTTGAATCTATCACCTATCTGTCCATCCATCCATCAAGTATCTGTCTATCCATCCATCCATCATTTATCTGTCATCAGTCTGTCTATCAGACTGTCCATTCGTCCGTCCATCCACTCTGTGTGTGTTGTATCTATTTGTCTGTCATCTACTCTTGATCTGTCATCTCTCTGTTGAATGTGTTATCTGTTCATGCATCTGTCTATCATTTATCTGTCCATCCATCCATCCATCCATCCATCTGTCCATCCATCGTCTAAATGTTATATCTATTATCTATAGCTTTATCATCTACTGGTCTATATCTATCATCTATTGATCTATCCAGCTATCGATATCATCCATCCATTACCCACTTTATCCATCTGTCTGCTGCTGTCTATCTGTTCTGTCTGTCTGTCTGTGCATCCATCCATCCATCCATCTACCTCCTGTCTTATTTTAACACACACATAGGGGCACCATACCTAAGATGATGAACCAACTCGGGGAGCTGGGGGGGGGTCTCCCACCGTCCTGGGTTTGTAAACCACCTCGGGCTTAGACTAGGGTTCATCTTCCTCCAAAATGCAATGCTTAGCTAGTGCGTGCATCAGAGCATGCGCGTGCATGTGCACACACACACACACGCACACGCATGCACATGCATGCACACGCGCCCGACGTTGGCTCAGGTCCTCTTAGTCATTCAGGACTGAAATGCCTTTTGCTCATTTCTGCTTTGGGCGGGGCTGGGGTTTGAACTCGGGGCCTTACTCCTGGGCCAGGCCGGCTCTGGGCAGCTGCGCCACGTTGCCTGACACCTCTCTGGCTTCCTGGCACTTGCCAGCCCAGAACCAGAATGTTCTAGAGGCTGGGGTCCAAGAGTGAGATCCCAGGGCAAGGCTGGTGGTTGCTGAGGGGCTGGGCGGGCGGGGGGGACCCAGGGTGGACCCCAAGACCCAGGACCAGCTCCTCCGGCTCTCCTCACCCTGTTTTCCTTTTTATTTACTTATCTATTTTCTTTCTTGTGCCCGTCCCGGGGCTCGAACTCAGTGCCTGGGCGCTGTCCCTGAGCTTTTTCACTCAAGGCTGGTGCTCTACCACTTGAGCCACAGCTCCACTTCTGGGTTTTCTGGTGGTTCTATGGCAGTAAGACTTTCCTGCCTGGGGCTGGCTTTGAACCTCGATCCTCAGATCTCAGGCTGCTGTGTAGCGGGGATGACAGGCGTGAGGCGCTGGCCTGGCAAAACTCGTCTGTTCTGATCTTTGGGGTAACTTGGTCCCCTTGTGGGCCTCCGCCTCCATCGCTCTCCTGCTCTGAAACTTCCTGCTATTTGATGCTTTTTTCTTGTGTTCTTCTCAAGCGCCTGGTCAGGGCAGAGTAAAACTCTCTTACTGGAAGAAGGTTTTGGTCTAGATAGAAATCATTTGTGTTGGGAGAAACCCCTAAATGCCAGAAAAACCAAAAACCAAAAACACCCCAAAACACCTCTTCCCTGAAGGTTAAAAAAAGGGGACACACATGAGCCAGGTGGCTCCCGCCTGTCATCCCAGCGACTCAGGAGGCTGAGATCGGAGGATCACGGTTCAAAGCCAGCCCGGGGCAGGAAAGTCCATGAGACTCTGATCTCCCAGGAACCACCAGAAGGCTGAAAAGTGGGGTGCGATGGCTGGAGGGGTAGGGCGGTTATTACTGAGTGACAAAGCTCAGAAGCAGTTACACTGGGTCCTGAGTTCAAGCCCCAGGACCGGCACCCAAGAGGGAAAAAGGAAAAGAAACCAACAGAACAAAAACGAAACACACACACAGCAGGATCTAGGAGAATCTAGGAGACTGGGTTAGCCCCTTGGGCTAGCCCTGGGCTTCTTTCTTCGCCCCCACTCCCGTAGACCCCCGTCTGTACTCACTGTAGATGGTTTGCTGGGGTGATCCGTCCACATGGCCGTCTGCGTGGATCTGGAGGTGGAAGCCGGCCCTGGCTGAGGCTGTGTACAGGTGCAGCAGGTCTCTGCCCCAGCTGGAATCGAGCAGTGGGGAGGAATCGGGGAAGGCGGTGACCCCAGGGCTGGATAAGACCAGGGCGCTGAGCAGGAGGCTGAGAGGGGGCCTCCACATGGCTGGGATCCAGTGTGCAGGCTGACCCTCCCGGCTGCTCTCCCTGGCCGCTGGGCTCCCCTCCCTCCTTCCCCCGGGTCTTTTTAAAGGTTATGGGACAGCAAACAGGAAAAAAAAAAAAAGAGAGAGAGAAAAAAAAACCCAACAAACCTCCCAGGACTCACATCCTTGGGGGCTGCGATCGGAGCTTCGTAGGAAGAAAAAAAAAATGCAATAGCCAAGATCTGTGGGCACGTGGATTCCAGAAACACACACACACACAGACACACACAGACACACACACACACACACACACACACACACACACACACACACCCTGACCTCTCCCCTGGAAGTGTGAAGGCTGGCAGTCTTCCGGAAGTGGACAGCTTCCGCCATCCCCTCCGCCACCCCCAGGGCCCCGGCTCATTTTGGTTTTCCCAGGCTCCAAGCTTGGGCGGACCCCCAGCTTCCTCTGCCCCATCCCAGGGCCCCCTGGCACCCCCACCCCCCTTCCCTGCTGGAGAAAGGGGTGCACAGAAGCCACCGCTGACCTTTGGGGAGGGGAGGGGGAGACTTGGAAAGGAGAAGCTCTGGAAGTCATTCCAAACCCCAGAGTCAAGCCAGGCGCTGGTGGCTCTGCCTGCCATCCCAGCCACTCAGGAGGCTGAGGTCTGAGGATCGCGGTTCGAAGCCAGCCTGGATAGGAAAGTCCAGGCGGTTCTTCTCTCCAATGAACCACCCAAAGCCAGATATGGAGGCATGGCTCAAGCGGTAGAGCACCAGCCTTGAGTGGAAAAGCTCGGGGGTGGTGCCCAGGCCCTGAGTTCAAGCCCCGTGACTGACAACCACCACCACTACCACCAGGGAAACATGTTTTTTTTATTTTTCCCAGTTCTGGGACTTGAACTCTGGGCCCGGGTGCTGTCCCTCAGCTCTTCAACTCATGGCTGGCGCTCTACCACGTGAGCCACGGCGCTACTTCCAGCTTTTTCTGCTTATCCGGTGCTGAGGAATCAAACCCAGGGCCTCATGCATGCTAGGCAAGCGCTCTACCACTGAGCCACCTTCCCAGCCCCTCCCTGAGCTTCTTTTGCTCAGGGCTGGCGCTCTACCACTTGAGCCACACCGCCACTTCTGGCTTTTTTCTGTGTATGTGGTACTGAGGAATCGAACCCAGGGCTTCATACGTGCAAGGCCAGCGCTCCACCATTGAGCCACCCCCCGGCCCAGAAGCATGGTTGGCAAGGAACATTATACATGAACAAGTGGAGATCCTGAGGTTTGTGTTAGGACCCGGTGTCCTGGCTGTTCTAATAATCGCAGTGAAGCAGGAGAAGAGGCTCAAGCTGGTCACCCTGGCTACTAGGGAGGCAGAGACATGAGGACCCAACTTAGGAGCGCAGCCCAGCCGAATGGTCACAAGACCCCCATCTCCACCTCCGGGGCTGGGAGTGGTAGCACACACCTTTATCCCATGGAGGGAGCATTGCAAGCACTAGTCAGGGAAACAGAAACAGGAGGATCGCAGTCCAGGCTGGCTTGGCCATAAATGGAGAAATCCTCCTCCTCCTCCTATACATAAAATAATAATGATGATAATAATAATAATAATAAACAACCAAGCAAAAAGGAGATGCGGGGGTGCGTGGTTTAACTGGTAGGGAACCCATCTTGCCTGTTCTGTCCTGTCTGTCAGGCTGCTCTGTTTTCTGTCCCCACCAGGGGATAATCTGCCCTGTCCGTCCATCCGGCCTCTGTGATCTCAGGATCCTGAGACTCACTGTCCCCCCCCCCCCCCCCGTCCCGCTTGGACCCCTCCCTGTGGGCTCCCCGAGCCCCCCGCATGTGTCTGGAAGGGCTGTTTCCAGCCTGGGGGGGGTGGGGGTCGATGATGGAGCATGTGCGTGCGTGTGTCACAGCCCGGCCTCATTGTGGATTCAGTGGAAAGCAGGATGCGGGGCTTCCGGAGGGCGGCAGGGCCGGCAGGCATTCCCTCAGCCTCCCTGGAGGTCAGGGCTGCTGGGACGGCCTGGGGGGGGGGGGAGGGAGGCTCCTGCTGCCCTGGGGGTGGAGGGTGGGGGAGAATCCCCCTCCCGGGCCTCCACGGGGCCCCCCGCAGCGGCCTCTCTGTGGAGACCCCGGAAGATTCATCCTTAGCAGAGCTGAGAGTGAGCAAGGCATCATGGGTGTAGCAGACAGGCTCCCGTGACCCCAGGGTGTGACCTTGGTGTGTGCAAGCCACCTCAGCCCCTGAGCCTCAGTTTCCCCCTCCTTCCCTTCCTTCTCTTCTTCTTTCCTTCCTTCCAAGGGCTTTGGTCTGTCACAGAGGTTGGCCTCCAACTCCAGAGCCTCCTTCATCAGCCTTCCCAGGGTTGGGATGACAGGTGTGTCTGTTTCCCAAAGCTCAGCCCTCCCTCTGTCTCTCTGTCTCTCTGTGTCTGTCTCCCCCCCCCCCCCCCCCCCCCCCCCCGGTCAGGCATTTCCCCCCCCCCAGCTCTCACTTCCTGTTGGAGTTTCTCACAGGTGCTTTCCAGCCAAAGCCGCTCGTAAGTCCCGCTTACAGTCTAACCTAACTCCTGAGAAAGGCATGTGCCGGACAAGCTTGCCAGCGGGCTGAGACAGCACAGGAGGAAATGGAGACCCCGTGTTCACCCCGCGGGGGGGTGACCCCGAGAACTCCCATCGTGGAAATGACGTGGCTAAATTCAGGGGTCAAGGTGGCCACTGGGGAGGAAGACGGACAAGATGATCAGTAGGAAGGGACATTGGACATCTTCTGGAAGGTGCCAGACGAGACCTGAACTGAGGTGGAGACAAACCATTTGAGGCTAGAGAGAAAGAATAACCAAGCACACAGGTTCCTGAACCATCCTGAGAAAGACTCATGGGAATGAAGGACTGGCGAGGGGAGGGGCAAGGGGTAAGAGCAGGAGGGGGAGGGGGAAGGAGAGAGAGAGTTGAGGGGTTCAGATCTGAGAGTTTGGGGGGGCAATCAGGCCTGGAAGTGGAGAAAGAAGAGAAGCCCAGATATGGATATTTAAGAAGAGCATGGTGGAAGAAAAATCCACAAAAGGGCTGGGCAGGTGGCTCCGTGGTAGAGCGCTTGCCTCGCATGCAGGAGGCCCTGGGTTCCATTCCTCAGCACCACAGACACAGAAAAAACCAGAAGTGGCGCTGTGGATCAAGGGGTAGAGCGCCAGCCTTGAGCCAAAGAAGCTCAGGGACAGCGCCCAGGCCCTGAGTTCAAGCCCTAGGACTGGCCAAAAAAGAAAATGAAAGAAGAAGGAAAGAAGGAAGGAAGGAAGGAAGGAAGGAAGGAAGGAAGGAAGGAAGGAAGGAAGGAAGGAGGCAGGGAGGGAGGGAGGCAGGGAGGGAGGAGGGAGGGAGGGAGACAAAAGAAACCAAGAAACGCAGCCAGGCTTTGGTTGGGCGGCGGGTCCTGGTTGAAGGCCTTTGGTTGGTATGAGACAGGAAGAAGATGGCACCCAGGCACTGCAGACAATGAGGGACCCCCCCCCCAGTCCCCACCAACTCCCCACCCCTACTGGCTCCAGGGAGAAGGGAGGGAATGGACCAATGAGAAGGGAAGAAGGGAGGGAATGGACCAATGAGAAGGGAAGAAGGGAGGGAATGGACCAATGAGAAGGGAAGAAGGGAAAGACTAGGCCAATGAGAAGGGAGGACCAATGAGAAGAGAGGAAAGGAGGGAAAAGACCAATGAGAAGGGAGGGAGGGAGGGAAAAGACCAATGAGAAGGGAGGGAGGGAGGGAAAGGACCAATGAGAAGGGAGGGAGGGAAGGGACCAATCAGGAGGGAATAGACCAATGAGCAGGGAAGAAAAGAGAGACTGGGACCAGAGAAAAGGGAGGTCCAATGAGGGAGGGAATGCGTCTGCAAGAAGGGAAGAAGTGGACCAATAAGAAAAGGGAGGGACCGGGCCCACGGGAAGGGAGGGAGGGAGGGAATGGGCCAATGAGAAGGGAGCACCAATTAGAAGAGAATGGACCAATGAGAAGGGAAGGGAGGGAATGGGCCAATAAGAAGGGAGGACCAATGAGAAGGGAGGAAAGGCGAAAATGGACCAATGAGAAGGGAGGTAAGGAGAAAGCAGACCAATGAGAAGGGAGGTAAGGAGAAAATGGACCAATGAGAAGGGAGGAAAGAAGGAAATGGACCAATGAGAAGGGAGGAAAGGAGAAAATGGACCAATGAGAAGGGAGGAAAGGAGGAAATGGACCAATGAGAGGCGAGGAGAGGAGGAAATGGACCAATGAGGAGAAAGGGACTAGGGCTAGTAGGCGTGGGCCCTCCTTGGTGTTCCCATTCATCAGCTCAGAGGCTCCAGAGCCACGCGCCGCGCCCAGGCGGCCTGCGGGGAGACCTAGAGACCCAGGAACAAGGGAAGGAGGGAAGTAGATGCTGAATTTAAAGCTTATTTCCCTCGTCGGGGGAGGAGGGGAAAGTAGAACTCCGTGCGCTCAGCGGCCGGCTCTCCTGTTCATCGTGGGCGAGTAAAAGGCAGACGCGGTCTCTGCTGGCCAAGGGGCGCAGGCGGGGCTGGGACGGTGCTCAGTGGTAGAGCGCTCGCCTTGCATCCCGAGGCCCTGGGTTCGATGCCTCAGCACCACATAAGCAGAAAGAAAAAAGCCGGAAGTGGCGCTGTGGCTCAAGGGGTAGAGCGCTCGCCTTGAGCTGAAGAGCTGAGGGACAGCGCCCAGGCCCAGAGTTCAGGCCCCACGACCAGCACACACACACACACACACACACACACACACACACAGGAACGTCACTAGTGGGTGAATGAACACCTTTATCAGGATGTGTTTCACACTTTGTCCTGCGACTGGATCTACAGGTTATTTCCAATTTCTCATCATTAAGGATGCGTTTCTGACAAACGTCCTTGTGCCTGAATTCTGCTCACACGTGGAGCGGTTTCCTTTGTGTGGATTCCTAGAAATGCAATTCCTGGGCTAAAGGATGTGGGGCCCTGCGTGATAAGGATAATGATTATTCT